GCCTCTAATGGAGTTTGACAGCATGTCACAGACCGCTCGATGACTATAACATTCAGAGTGGATATTCTCATACTCTATCAATAGCTTATCTTACTAAAGATGGTTAGTTTATACTCTCTAATAACTCTTATAATATCTGCTTTTTATTATATCTAATCTTTAACTAAGATAGAATTAGAAATTTATATAAATTTAGAGAATACCTACTTAGAGAATATAATATTTTTTTAGAAAGTATAAAGAATAATTTGATTAGCTAAGAGAAATTTTAGCATACGTATAGACTCTACCTTAATTATTATTTTATCTTTATCTTAAGATTTCTTAATATAATATAAAAGTAATATTTATAAAAAATATATTATTTTACTTTAATTTTTAAGCTTTATTTAATAATATAAATTTTATTAAAATAAGCTAAAATTAATTAAGAAATAGCTAATAGTATAATAAAAAAGACTTATAATTTAAAATACTTTCTTATTATTAAATATTTATTATTTTTAAAATAAGTATAATATTTATAAAGAGCTAAAAAAGAGAATTATAATAATACTTATACTTTAAACTCTTAATAAATACTTGAAAAATAAGGTGATTTAGTTAGCTTTGATTAGCTAGTATTATAAAGTTTATACTTTTTAAGAAATATTATACTCTTTAAATAGGCATTCTCTAAATTTATATAATTTATTATATAAATTAAAATATAAATAAAGTAACGTATTCACATAGCGAGTGGCCTAACATAGCGAGTGGCCTAACATAGTAAGTAGCCTACCATTCATACATTATACCACCTTTATATAAGTTATTTCCACCATAATAACTTAAATCAATTAAAACTATTCAGAATCCTTATCTTTAGACATCTCTATATCTAATTGACACGTTTATATATTATGGCTAGGCTTTCTACAATTACTATAGTATCGAATATATTGCTAGTCTCCCTTTATATAACTTTCTTTTATATTTATATTTATATTATCTTTAGCTATAAAGCTTCTTTTTTTTTATATTTATTTTATCTTTTATTATAATAATAATCTTCTTTATTAAAGATATATTTTTTTAGCTTTCTAATGCTTACTTAATACTTTATTTACTATCTAAAGGTCTTAAATCTTGTATTTTATTAAAACGATTTTATATATAATCTTTTTTATATCTTATATAAAAGTATCAATCTTATTATAAATATATATTAAAAAACTATTTTAATGATAAAAGATTCTATTTTTAATCAAAGTTATCTAAAAAGTTATTTTAATTAGATTATTTAATATTTATCTAATCTAAATAAAAATAATATTAAACTATAAACTTTAAAATATAATTAGTTAAAATAAACTATCTAGCTAAGATAATATTTTATCTAAGTTAAATAAAATAAGGCTAGTTATTTAAAAGTTAGCTTTAATATTTATTAAAATTATAATATTATTATATATATTTTAAAAAGTAGAAAAAAGTTATTTTTTATAATATAGATAATCTATATTTATATTATCTATTTAATTATTTAATTATATAAACTTTTTAATATATTAAAGTATTTAATATTAAGTAGCTAAAGCTTATAAAAAGAATAAGAAAGTATATAAAGTATAATAATATTATTTTTTTTATAATATATTTTAAAATCTATCAAATAATAGCTATTATAACTATCAAAAATAAGAAAATAATATTTATCTTTTATATATATTTTTATATACTTATCAAAATATTATAATTATTTTAAACTAATTTTATTTATTATCTAACTATTATTATTTATATAAACTTTCTAATTCTTTAGAAAATTATTATTAATATATTAATTAAGAAAGTAATATTAACCTTTTATAATTAAGAATGATAATATTATTTAGCTAGTTATATTAATTATAATAATTATAAAAATATATTTTTAATTATTAAGCTATTTTATATAAGATTATCTATATTTTTTTGATATTATAATAATCTTTATATATAAAAGTATATTTATCAAAAACTTAGTCTTATCAAAGTTATAGATATTATTATTAAAAAATTTATATTTATTCTTTATATTTTATATAAGTATAAACTATCCTTTAATTATCTTTAAATCTTTATATAAGGCTCTTTAATAGTCGATTTAATATTGAAAATATATATTTATCTTAAAATATCATTATATAAAGTTTTCTATTTATTAAAGTCTAATATATTATTTATTATATAACTTAAGAATATAATCGACTATATTTTATATATTATAAAGTTATAGTTAAAACCTTTGCAAATTTAGGTTAAAAATATACTTAATTAGTATCTTCTCTTTTAATTTTATTAATAGCTTTAAATTAAAGAAGATATTATATTAAAATAGTTTACTATTATATTAATAATAAAGTATTATATAAGATATATTATAGATTATAGTAGCTTCTCATATGCTTAGCTTAAGGTCTTTTTCAAGAGCTTGAATAGCTATAATAATCTTTGCTTTATTTAAAGAGGAATCTATTATTGTTGGTAGAGAAAATTTATATTGAAGTTAGAAAGTGGTATAATATACGAATGGTAGGCTACTCGCTATGTTGGGCCACTCGCTATGCGAATACGTTAATTATAATTAGTATATTAAACTTATAAATCTAATACTCTTTATTCTTAGATAAAAGTTATTTCTTTATCTCTTTAAAACACTATCACTGCTGTAATTAAGCTCAAATCTCTTATACTCGTAGTTGGGAGTCTGATCAGGTTGGAAATCATAGGCTCTAAGGCCCTCGAAAGGGATTGCAGTCAACAGGCGTGTCAAGTCGGCACTGGACTTCTGAACGTGTGACTGGATAATTTCTAAGAACTCAAGCTACGGCCTTACAATCTAAATGGCCTTAAAAAGAACGCTTTGATCAGCCGATCAGGTAAACCCTACTCAGCCCAACTTCCCAACTCACTATTGACACCAAACTTGCTATACACACAACCCACAATTGCCAGCTAACCTTGCTTATTGTCATTGTCCTCTACAAATGAGCATTTTACTTGGTAAGCAGCATAACCCAGTGCAGAAATGACCGCAAGAATAGAATATATAATAACATAAGTATTGGAAGCGCCACTCAGCTGCATTCCAAGTCCACCGTTTACTATGCCGATGATCATTAAAGCACGACCATACCATATATGGACGTGGCCGAAAATGCCACGTTTTCCCTGCCGACGGTACTGCAGATGATGAAGGAATCCAAGAATAGGTTGAATGGTTAACAAAACTACCACGAATAGGCCTACACGTGTGTGGGCTTGGTCAAAAAACTAGATACTTGTGTGTCAGCTCGGTTATTTGTGAAAAGGTCTGAGGACTTACAATGCCATGGCGGGTTGAAACGACATATCCAATACCGAAGCCTGCCCACATAGCCAAAAATGCAATCATTTGCCAGCTAGCGTGAATGTACCACTTGCCAAGCAAGGGCATAAGCAAAGAGCCCATCGGGTACATGGCGACGAAGACGATGGTCAAGATAATTCCATGTGCTAGGATAAGGTTGCCATTGGGATTGCTGTTTTGTTCTGTTACCGCCCCGTCATCGTTTCCGTTTCCACTAGTGGTGTCGTCAGAGCTTCCGTTTCCATCACTGGTCTCGACAAATGGATTGGCATCCGACGAAATTAGTGCTGGGGCGAGATTGACGCTAAAAGCCGAGTATGAATCGTGCTGGGTGATTGACTCGGTCGGATCTACGGAGTCCAACGATGGTCCTTCTCTCATCGCCATGATCCAGTCGCTAGAGCCTGAAGTATCGAAGTCTCCAGGGCTTGTGTAGCGAATATTTGCAATCATGAGGCCGTCAATGACACCAGAGCCATCGAGGAGGACAGTGCTATCCTGTTCCACTGGAAGAGGCATGGAATGACCGCTTCCCTCGCGATTGCTGACGGTGACGTTCCCCTCACCATCTTCGTACATTAAAAACATGGCAGCGCCGGTCATCTGGCTGCCTATTCCAAGCCCGATCCACTGGTATGAGGTCGGGGCCTTGATCTGAAGATAGATATCTCCATTTCCAGCCTCCGGAACAGCCCATCGGAAGCAGACGTCGGAGTCATCGGGGCAAAATGATATCGGAGACGAATTGGCTCGAGGAACTCCTAGAGCATATAGATCCACATTAACTGATTTCCTGCTTTTCATTGCAAAGGAGCAAGAACTGTTCTAGTGAACAGGCCTTCTGGTGATTCGACATACCCAACGTTCCCAGTACAGACAAGGGTAGGGCCTTGTTAAGTTTCATATTGACGGAGAAGAAGAAAGTGTCAAGAGTGCGCTAATGGACAGAAGAGAAAAAAGGACGAAAAAGAATGATTTTTCTCGAAGGAAACATCTTCTGGTGCAAGTAGATGCGCCGCGGGTATAAAAGGAACTCAAGACGTGATTAACGTCTCGGACTTTGGCGTAACGTAGCCCCTATCTTCAGTCCGCGGAACGTCGAAATTGGTAGAAACGATTCCCAGTGGGCCATTCTCAGCAGGGGATAATATCGTGGCTCGTCGACTTTCATCATCTTTTGATAGGTTGACGCGTTATGGGGCGCAGTAGTTGCGTCGCAGACTTCTAAGCTTGGCTGGGCGGTTACGAATGGGGTCTCAAACCAGACTACTGCCTAGTAAACAGAACAAAGTTGTCTGTCGGTATTTCCATGATGATAAACGACTCTTTTCTCATTGGTCCGTGGACATTGAAAGCCGATCATCTCTATCGGCTTCTAGGTACGGAAATGGAAGGCGTCGCAAATGCGGTACACAATGCAACAGCGCAAACCTAAAGGATTCTTGATTAATGGCTTGCCAATCTTGTTTGGAAGATCCTTTTGTACTTTTCAAGTATTCATTCTATTGACAAGACTCTGTTTTCTCTTCAAATCAGCATTCACATTTCTCCTTCATTTTCACCTTCTTTCCACCCGATTTTATCATCTCAACCGTATAACTACACCCGGCTAGTCGACCTCTTGAAAATGCTGCTCTCTCGCAGTGGCGGGCTTTCCGCGATTTTTTGCTCTTTCCTTCCGCTAGTATCAAGGGCTGTGCTAGCAGTTGCCCAGAGCAATGACGCCCTTGGCTGGATTCCCTTTGATCGAAGCCAATTCAGCGGAAATGCTACCCTTGATGAAGATGGAGACGTTCGATTATTCTGGGAAATTGGCGACGAGTACTCGACATTTGGAATTGCCTCTCGGTCAAGTGGATATCTTGCGCTCGGTTTTAGCGAGACCGGAGCAATGACTGGCGCTGATATGGCTGTGGGTTATACGAACGACAATGATGAGTTTGTTCTTGAGAACCGCCATGCAGCAGGCTTTGTGTCACCGGAACTTTCTGATGATCAAGAAAACAACATCCGACTGAGAGAAGGCCACCAGGAAGCCGGAGTTACGTCGTTCATTTTCGAGAAGAAAAACGACGCTGATTGTTTGCAAAACCAAGCCAACGTCCACACAGCTGCGTGGCAATGGTTCATCTACGCGTTTTCTGACAAGAACGTCTTCGCTCAGCATGCGCCTGGTAACAAAGGCAAGACATATGTCAAGCTAGGCACCGGCGATACTATTTCGGTGAACGAAATCCGGCCCTCCGACAACACCATGAACTTTACCATTACTCAGCCCGAAGTAGCCATTCCTACCGCCGAGACCACCTACTGCTACAGTCTTCACAGGATGCCAAGTGGTGAAAGGAACTATCTGGTCGCCGAGCGACCAAACCCGTCGAGTGATTTGCTCCATCACTTAGTTGTCTATGCATGCTACGGCATGCCCGACGGACTTCTAGACATGCTGGACCAGGAGCCCAACTGTGACTGGGAGAACTTCTCGAATCCCTGCAACGGTTTCGTTACGGAATGGGCTCCTGGTATGTCTGGCCGCACATTCGAACCCGGGTTCGGCAAACCCTTCGGCGAGGACTACTACGAATATGTCATGTTCGAGACACATTACAACAATCCCACGGGCATCGAGGGCGAGAAGGACGTAGCCAGTTATACCTTCCTCTACACAGACGAACCGGTAGAGACTGAGGTCGGCACTCTGACATTAGGCGACCTCCAGGTGGATGGCTGGTTCCTCGAACCAGGCAAGGACTTGGTTGCACACTCAACAGTCTGCACGCCTGAATGCACGAGTCAATGGCCTTCGGAAGGTATCACGGCCTTTTCGGTATTCCACCACATGCATTTTCGTGGTCGTAACACGCGCGTCCAGATCATTCGAGACGGCAAAGAGATTGCCCCACTGTCGATTCTTCACGACTTTGAATACGGCTACCAGTTCTCCAAAGGCTTGGATCAAATACAGCTTTTGCCCGGAGATAAACTTATTACCACCTGCGAGTACGATACTTCAGGAGACGACGAGCCGGTCCCTGGTGGACAACCAAGCAGCAGTGAGATGTGCTTTGCCTGGGTTGACTACTATCCGGCCAACGCCGTCCTCGCTTGCACGCAATACGACACGGGCAATGCCACCGTAGGACTCTGTCTAGAATCTTCCGCATCCGAGCCCGAGTTGTACCAGTCAGACTTTCTTACGTCCACTTTCAAGAATCTTACCACTTCCGGAAACATGTGCAGTGCGAATTCTACAGATGACGAAGCATCTGACGGTGGTGACGCTGACTCTACTGAAGGTGGTGGCGCTGACTCTACTGGCGGCGGTGAATCGGCGGCCTCCACCTTTTCTTTCTGCTCAGTACTATCGATAACGATGTTGTCACTCGTGTTCGTCTTCTAGGTTTTCCTTGTCAATAGAAATCGGCCGTTCGAGGAACCCGGCGAGCGCAGAGTCTCAGGTGTATCTATACCGAACAGAGCGGCAATTGGCATCACCTTCACTGATTACTTAGCATCTAGCACATGTCATATTGTTTTTTTATTTATTTCTTTTTCTTCATTTTGTGCCAAACGCTCATACTTTCATGCCTACCATGACAATATCTAGAACGAGAATGATACAGTGCACTCGTGGAGTTTTCTGAATTACAGTACAATATCGGACGCCATTTGAAACAATACATAAAGTATCCTCATATAGCATCATCTAACGTTCAACACACGTGATCTAAGTCAGCCTCTAAGACCTCTTATTAATGATAGAAATATGATGTATATACCGGTAGTGTCCAAGCACTAGCCCGTCGATCTATTCCTCGCTTGATTAGACTGTCTGTAAGCACCCAAAAACTAGAACCTATCGCTCCGTTCCGCCTGGCCATACCAGTTAGGGAGTAAGGCAGAATACACGTTGATAATTCTGACAATGAAAGAGAATATTTATGCATTCTAAACTGACAACCACAATCCTGGGGAACACCACCGTGTGTCCCCAAGCCATGGGCATAAGTTATGTATAATGCGGTATGCCAGATAGAGTGTAGAAGAGCGAGATAAACTCTGACGCGGCCATCGTTTACCGTGCCGCATGGAAGGTCACATTGGAGACTCTGGCACCCTGCTTAGGATTGCTGGGCGCATGCACGCCAAGATCCGCCGGATCCTCTGCTTGGCAACCAACACAGAGGAATCTCAAACAAACCACTGCTAATGAGACCTCATACTGAGAGATGTCAGACACCAGCAGCCGCTAGCTACGTTCAATGCTGCAATAGATCAGTCCAGGTGGTAGCTTGGCGTGGGAACGAGTCCGCATGCAGGAAACACTTGTGCCTAGAGATAGCGAAATGCAAGCATTATGTCACGTACCATTCCGGACCCACCACTCGGACGGCTAAAATATGCCCCCTACATACAAAACTCAATATCTTTATCTATAACTAGAAGAGATAATAATAAGATTATTAAGACAACGTTAAATCAATTAAATAGCTAATTAAGTAAGATTTTGATTAAATATAAGCTTATATAGTTTTGAGAATACCTACTTAAAGAGAATAATATTTTTTTAGAGAGTATAGAGAATAATTTGATTAGCTAAAAGAAATTTTAGCATATATATTGACTCTACCTTAATTATCATTTTATCTTTATCTTAAGATTTCTTAATATACTATAAAAGTAATATTTATAAAAAATATATTATTTTATTCTAATTTTTAAGCTCTATTTAATAATATAAATTTTATTAAAATTAAGCTAAAATTAATTAAAAAATAACTAATAGTATAATAAAAAAGACTTATAGTTTAAAATACTTTATTATTATCAAATATTTATTATTTTTAAAATAAATATAATATTTATAAAAAGCTAAAAAAGAGAATTATAGTAATATTTTTTATTATATATAATTATACTTTAAACTCTTAATAAATACTTGAAAAATAAGGTGATTTAGTTAGCTTTGATTAGCTAGTATTATAAGGTTTATACTCTTTAAGAAATATTATACTTTCTAAGTAGATATTCTTATAGTTTTTTAGATTAGATTAGTAGAATATTATACTCTTAATATAATAGTTTAATATTATTATATATTATTTAATATTTATATATATTTAATAAACAAAAAGATTATACTTAATTACTATTAAGAATAATACTCTATAATAAAGATAATATATTAGATATATACTTAGAAGTGATAAATAATAAGACTTTTATATAAAAAGCTATTTAAATATATATTATTATTCTTAATATATTTATATAGTAAGTAGCATATTATAATAAGCAGTATATTATTTATATATTATATTATATTTTACCTTTAATAATGATTTTCTCTATTAATTTAAATAACTACTTCTTTAAACAAAGTAAAGCTTCTCTTAGCTATCTAAGCTCTCTAAAATAACTTTAAACTATCTATATAAAGTATAACTAAAATCCATTAAGCTATAAAGACTTTTTTCTATTAATAATATACTAGTAAAGAGTTATAATATAATATCTCTCTTAATTTAAAGCTATTAATAGAATTAAAAGAGAAAATATTAATTAAGTATATTTTTAACTTAGATTTATAAAGATTTTAACTATAGCTTTATAATATATAAAATATAGCTAATTATATCTTTAAGTTATATAAAAGATAATATATTAGACTTTAATAAATAGAAAACTTTATATAACAATATCTTAAGATAAATATATATTTTTAATATTAAATTAATTATTAAAAAGCTTTATATAAAGATTTAAAGATAATTAAAAAGTAATTTATACTTATATAAAATATAAAGAATAAATATAAGTTTTTTAATAATAATACTTATAATTTTAATAAGATTAAGTTTTTAATAAATATACTTTTATATATTAAAATTATTATAGTTTTAGAAAAATATAGATAACTTTATATAAAATAATTTAATAATTAAAAATATATTTTTATAATGTAAGGAACCCTTAGAA